TTTTGTCTCCACAGTGCCCTGGCGCCTGGGGCAGGTGGATGGTGGGGATGCCCCCAGGGAGGCCTCGGCGGCTCTGGGGTGAAGGACTGCGGCTTGTACCCCTGTCCCGGCTCGACGGCCGCAGGATGAGGCCCTGGAACTTGGCCAGGCTGGGGCTTCGGCTGCGGTGCCGTTGCATCTTGCCCGGGCTGGGGCTACGGGATTTGGGGGCCAGCAGGACAAGCGTGCTGTCATCCTCCTCTTCTGAGCTGCTGCCTGAGCTGTCCGTGGGGCTGCTGCCCTCCTCTGACCTGGGCAAGGAGATCTGCACCCCTGCATCAGCACTGCTGGCTGATCCTCACAGGGGCCTGTGGGGCACCACAGCAGCTGGCCTCCTCCAGCCAAGCATCCCTATACACATCCCCCTTGCCTCCCTCAGCCCCTCACCCTCGCCTCTTCGCCATGCTGACCTGGAAGGGCTCAGTCACACCAGCGATGCTGCTGGAGGTGTTGCTGTAGTATCCAAGGATGTACTCGCCCTTGCCCTTAGGCAGTGCCTCCTCCGAGAACATCACCTGCAACCCAGAGACAACTGATAGGCACCAGAACTGGGCACAGGGGTGCCCCCTCCCACCTCCAGCCCCATAGAGAGCTCCAGCCCCAGCTGAGAGCAGAAATCCCTAATGCCTGCCCAAGGCTCAGCACAAAGCAAGAAGGAGCTGCCCTCCTGCCCCATGAGGGGCACAAAGGGGCCATTGTCCCCCCACAATGGGGCACATACACCAAGCAAGACAGCAGGGCTCCCCCCAGCTCACCTGTGCACACAGTTGCTTCTCTAGGCAGCGCTCTCCATCATCACTCCTGGCCCAGACATAGGACACATAGTCTTTAGGATGCCGAAAGCCCACCTATGCGCATACATGGGAGAACACAGGTGAGTGGCAGAGTATCAGCCCTGCTTTAGATCCCCTCTCGCTCAGCCCTCTCTCTTTGCACAGTGGCACCAAGAGCTGCCTTGCACCCACCCAGCTGTGCCCTGGCCCCCAGCCCCCTGAGAGTGCCGGGCTTTGGACCCTTTGGGGCCCACAGAGCAGGAGGAAGAGGGAACTGCTGGATCTGAGCCTCCTGAAGCAGGGCCAAATCCTGCTGCTAACTACCAGGGCCTCCCAGGGGAAGAGAGAGCATATGCCATGCACTCATGTCTGCTGGTGGGGGGTAGCTCAGAAGGGACCCTGCATTGCCATGCAGTGCTCCCCACTACCTCCAGCCCCAGCAGCCCCCAAGCACCTACCCGGTAAAGTCCTATCCAGTCCCAGGAGCTCCGGTGGAAGCCAGCAGCCATCTTGTACCTGACAACTGCTTGCTCAGGCCTGCTCCATTCATCAGCCACATAAATCTCAACCGGGGGCTTGTCTGCCTTGGAAGCAAACTGTCAGAGACATGTACATGGTGAGCAAGGGCATGTCAAAGAGATCTGCCCCTGCTGCCCAGGGCACCCATCTAGGACTGGACCTTCACGCATACATCAACAGCAGCCCCCAGCCACAGTGACAAGACAGCTGAGCTTGCCAAACAAAAATAAAATAAACCCCGCACACCCCATCATACACTGCACATGCTAGCTGGGCATCTCACTCCTGTAACTCCTGCCTGCATGCCCAGTGGCCCTGAATGGTGCTCACCTGCACTGCAAAGATAGCAGCTACTGGCTTGTGGTCGCTGACAGTGTACTCCATGTGGCTGCAGTAGCAGAGTTGGCTCACCGACAGGATGCCCCGGCTGGGCCGGCGCCCGCCCACCCCAAGCCCGACACTGGGAGATTTGATCTTCCAGAGGATGCGGTCAGTCCAGGCAGGTTTTCGCTTCTTGGCACTGCAGGGCACAGAGGGGCATCTCTTGCCTGGCAGGGGGCAGTGAGCTCCACCCCAAACTGCCTCCCCCTGGCACTATGGCATGTGCAGGCAGGGGATGCGGCTCGTCTCAGCACACAGCTCAGTGCGGCTGCAGGGACAGACCTGCGCGGGCACCAGCATGACAGTTTTGTCCCAGCCTGCTGTCCCCAGTCCAGCTGGTGCCCGCCCCCGCATGGCTCCTCCCACCGATCCACACCAGCATCAGCCCCTGCCCCACTGGCACCAGCACCCCACCCTGGCTCTGAGCCCGGCCACTCCTCCATCCCTCAGCCATGCCACCCGCTCCCAGCACATGCTTGAGCTCTGCTCTCCTACCTGCTGTCATATTTGTTGGTGCCCACATCGAACTTGAAGGTGGGTGGGAAGTTCAGGGGTCCCTCCTGAAAGCCGCTGAGGACAGGCCAGGTGCTTTTGGCAATGTTCAGCTGTGGGAAAGAGATTAGGTCGGTCGGAGAGCACACCAGCCCCCATGGCCAAACTCCTCTGCAAGCCCCCAAGACCTCTCCACCCCCAGCACGCAGTCATCCCTGCCCCATTGCTGCAGCCCCACACAGCTTTCAGGGTTTGTTCATGCCATGCAAGCAGCAAGTCTGTAGACCCAATGCCCCCAGCTCTTCCTAGCACACTGATAAAGGAAACACATGCCCAGCTCCCATAAAGACCATCCTGGGACTATGCTGCCCCTTCCCCACAGAGCCAGAAGAGCCAGGGCCCTTTGTGGGACATGCCCTGTCCCACAGCTGCATGGGCAGTTTTGGCAAGAGTGGAATGCCACTTGGTGCCCAGCCAAGGCTCAGCAGCATGCCCATCCCTCTCACCTGGTCCTTCTCCCACAGCTGGCTCAGGATGTTGCTGTCGATGGCATACTTCACAAAGCGGATGTCGAGGCTCTCAATGCGGAAGTTGAGGTCCCCAAACCAGAACACGAGGCTGTGGGTGGGAGGGAGGGCAACAGGCTGGAAGGGCTGAGGCTACTGGAGCCAGGCAGCACAGCGGGGGGAAAACGACCTCAGCCTGTGGGCAGCCTCAGCCTGCAGCACAGGTGCTCTTGGGAGCAAGCACCAGTGCAGGTTAGCACTCAGCCAACAGCTTGGCCAGTTACCAGCCCTGCCAGGATTCCTCAGGTAGGACCAAGCACCATTAACCAAATGGACCTGACTTCCCTGGGAAGAAATTGAGGGTGGAAATTTCCACCATGAGGCACCTACCAGAGTCAGACCACACAGCCAAGACATGGCTGGACCCTCCATCTCACCAGTCCCAGACCCCAACACTGCCAGTATGGCAGGAGCTGCACCAGGCCTGGATATGCTCCAGGGGAGACCAAGGACCCCTCTTAACACCTACTCCACCATGCTGGGTGCCCACCAGGCCACAAGACAATTTTGCAGCTCTGCAGGCAAGACCCCATCTCCAAGCTGTGCTGGGATTCAGAGGACAGACCCCAGACCCTATCTGGAGGTGCTCAAGCACGGGGGCTGGCACTAGAGCCCTGGCCCAGATTGAGGAGCAAAGTGATGGGGTACGCACTCATGGTCCAGGATGCCGCTGGCCGCATGCCCCTCAAACTGCTGCATGTGCAGTATGGTGGCAAAGTCCTCCTTGCGCTGCTCTGCCTTCTCCAGGTGCGCTGGCAGGTGGCAGTTCAGGAAGCAGACCATGTGGCCGAAGATGGAGAGACGAACGCTCACCCCACCCTTGTTGCCCTGCACCAAGAGGATCCCATGATTCCTTGAGAAGCCAGCCCGTCAACACCTCCCCTGTGGCCACACTTACCCAGTAGCCTCCCAGCCCCGTCCTCGTGCAGTCTGTCTGGATGTCCTGCAGGAAGGGGAGGTGATAGTATTTGGCAAATACCAGTAGAATCACACCTTGCATCCGTACCGTGCTGACCTGGAATGGGAGCAGGGGCTGAAGCAGGATGGTAGCCACAGCAGAGCCTATAGGGGCAGGGACAGCTTCCCCCACCCCCAGGCCATAGGGGCAGCACCTCCATCCTCTGCATGCCCCCCATCTTGGAGATGACTAACAGCACATTTAGTTCAGAGATCTATGCACACCTCTTGAATACTGGAAGTTGAGATAAGCCCAGCAATGCTAAGGCTCATGTACGCTCTGGGGCAAGTGCCCTGGGGAGCTGAACCTACCCTGGGACCTGCAGGCTGCTGCCAGAAGCACAGGCTTGTTCCCACATTCACTTTCTCGCCCTGGTGCAATGCAGCAGGCAACAAGAAGTGTCCCCAAAGCACCACAGGGGAAGCCTAAGGTGCAGGAAAGGGAGCAGCATGGCACAAACTAGACAGCACACTGGTGAGATGCACCACTAGCCCTCAGGTCAGCCCCCACACGCTGCTTGAATGGCTGCAGGCTATCCCTCCAGCAGTTTGTCCAACTGGCTCTCCCACCGCACCTCCTCCCTCTGTCCCTGCAGTCCAACTCTCCCTCCCCATGGTCCACCTGCCTGGCAGGCAGAGAGGGAACACCAGCTGCCCAGCACCTTTGGGACCTACTTACCAGGATGAAGTGGAAGGGGCTCAGCACATCCATGAAGAGCTCGCTCCACTGGTCTGTGAAGAGGGCATCCTTCAGGCGCTTGTTTATCTTAGAGTTCACCTCTTGCAGGCTGGAAGGAAAGGGACAGCTCCCTCAGCCACACCAGGAAGGAGTCTGTGTCCCAGCTAGCGAGAGCTCCATGGGAAAGGTGCCAAAGCACAGTGCTGGGGAGCAGGGCCAGGGCAGTTCAAGGGAGGACCCTGGGTTTGCAGCACAAAGCCATATCCTTGCTCCAGCGATGCTGGGCCATGTGCTAGCAGAAGGCACAAGTAGCCCTGAACCCATGAGGCCTTGCCCCTTTTTAAAACAGGAGCAGTTCAGCTGCACAGGGCTGGGCAGCAGTCTAAAGCCTACCTCTAGGTGCAAGAGGGCTTACGGGACATTTCAGCTGCATTGGTCTCTACAGAGAAACCAAGTCTCACCAGTACTTCAGCACAGGGTATCCAGATGCATCCTAGCCACCAAGCTCAGAGCAGCAGAAACAGAAGGTTAATAGGGCTCCTCCCAGTTCAGCAATTAGCGAAGAGAAGGAAGGAGAACATCCGCAGAGAACGGCAGAATCAGGAAATGTCTTGCCCCAAAATATCAAGTGCTTGGGGCACAAAGACATGGGTCAGAGGAAGGATGCAGCCAGGCAGAGATGCCCTGGAGGTGGGGAGCAGCAGGACACCCTGCCCCAGCCAGGACACAGTCCCAGCAAATCCCTTACTGTCAGCTACACCCCATGCCCCATCCATCCAGGCTCAGGTCTACCTCCACAGCCCCACACAGCCCCATCCCATTGGTCCGCAAGGCCTAGGGGACCAGGAGACTGGCTCCAACACAGCATTGTAGCTCCAGCAGCCTCAGCCTTACACCACTCCCTCCCTGGGGAGCACTGGGGGAGTCCCTCCTGGAGGCAGATCCAGCTCTTCCACCCCATGCCCACAGGCAGAGGCTGCTTCTCGCTCCCTGTGCAAAAGGCAGCATGTCCCTGCTCTTAGCAGGAATCCACACACACCTTGGCAAACCTCAAGAGACCAGTTTTCCCTTAGACTCTGGCAGAGCTTGCCTTGCCAGCCACACCAATAAAGCCTTACCACACCGACGCAGTGCTGCCTTGCCAGCAGTTAAGTGTTGCCAGGGGCACAGAGCCAATCCAGCTGCGAGAGAACAGCAGATTTGTGCCCTTGAGGCCTGCATAGTATGGGCAAAAGCCGAGATGAGGAAAATGCTCCCAGAGGACTCCAGCAGGTGAGTTAAATGTCTCCACAGACCTGACCCCAGGACTGCCAGGGCTCACAGGAAGAGCAGTGCTCCCCAAGGCCTAGCTCTGCACAGCATAGCCAGCTACAGGCTCTTCAAGGTTTGAAGGCTACTCAGGATTCAAGGCTTTCAGTTCCTCTTAGCATTCCCATTTTACTAGGAGCTGACTCTCCGTCACCTTTTCTGATATTTACCGCTTGCAGTGCACACCCCTCCCTGCTCACCATGCCCCAGGGAGGCTGGGGCTGCAGCTTTTCCATTCCCCACCCCCCAGGGCTATGGGGATCCCCCGAAAAGGGATGTGGCAGGGGAGGGGGCCCTGCACCTCACCCTCTTACCCAATGGCGATCACATCCGCATCATTTGTCTCGCCTGTGTTGAGGTGCAGCAGGGATGTCACATCGTTTGGGGGCATGGCTGTGCCAACGTTCCAGGTGACCACTGTGATGCTTGGGAGGACAAAGGAAGAACAGGCTAACACTGGGGCTCAGAGATGTTCCCTGCCCCCCCTGTTCAGCCCCCAGCTCCACCAAGGAAGCTCTCTGCCTGCAACAGAAGCGGCCACAGCTGAAACTTAGCCAGGGCACGTACACCAGATCCTTAACTCCCATTTGAGGGAGACGGGTCCTTGACTCTAAATTCCCCCAGGGTCTGCACCTCAGCGCGTGGCAAGCCCTGCTGTAACCCAAGCCCCAATGAAATTCTAGAAACCAGCACAAAGAGCACTCGTCTTCATCACTGCCGACTGACACAGGCAGGCTGGCACAGCAGGCAGCCTGGGAAACAGTGTCCCTGGAAAACTGCTTCCCCTCCCTTCCCCAGGAATCCCGTATCCCTCGGGCTCCTAGGGAAAAGGATCCAGATCTCAGCCCCAAGTCTGCCCCAGAGCACAGCTAGCACCAAAGGCCAGGGCATCGCATGTGACAGCAGCACTGCAAGCCCCGCAGCAGTGTCCTTCACCAGTGCAAAGCCACCATCAGTCACAACACATTAATGCCGTTACGCAGCATGCGCCAGCAGCCCGCGGGCTCTTTTGGCAGCACTAGGACGAGTCTCAGTCACAGGGGACGCGTTTCAACAGTGATGGAGGGTAGTGCCACATCATTTCCAGACCACAGGGGCAGATGGCACCCGCTCCACAGCCTGTGCCTCTGACATGCCACCCCGCGCAGCACCCACTGCCCTGAACACTGCCTATGCAGACAGCGGGCACTGGGCATCCTTCCCTACCACCCCAAGAATCCTGCTTGTCCATAGCCCCTCATCCCAAATCTCCTCCAGCTGAACACCATCCACAACAGGAAGAAAGGGGCAACTCCAGCCCACAAGAGGCTTTGCTTACTGCTTCACAGCCAAGGCAGTTTCAGCCCGGCAACACTCCCCCCTGCTCCCCCCCCGCAGCAACACCCGCTCACCGGAACGAGCCATCCTCCGGGCC